CATGAAAAAAAACTGTAGCTTGCTTTGCCTATCCTCCCTTCTCTCATTCACAGGCGAAACCCAAAAGGCTGTTCTCCAAGACAACTATAGGTCGAGCGAAAGCACGCCGACTGGACAAACTTTCCCGCTACATTTTTCCAGCTGTGTTTGCCGCCTTCAACATCTTCTACTGGCTTTTCTACATGTTCTGGGAACCAGAAGTAGAGCGCTACGACTGATCCTGAACGCAACACTCTTTTAGAATAGTCAGGGAACCTACCCATGCAGAACCTTTCTGTACAGTTTGCTCATACACAGTGTTACGTAACTCAAAGTTGTCTTATCGTTTGGCCTTACGAGATTATAAACACATCTTCTTCAGTTTCACAACACAAAATGAGGCACGTATAATTAAAGTTTGCGTTTTAATGCCATGCTAGAGCGAAGTATTTTGGTTTTCGACTGTGAACCTAGAAAAGGATTGATTTTGAGAAACAAAAGTGTGAATATGACACCGGCCTTACTTGTTGCCTTGAAACAGGACGTCATTTTTTGAGTGGCGGTCGGAATGGTAATGCCTGAGATTTCTGATGTTCCCCTTCCAGCTGTTGTGGCTTTATATAAGCGACAACTCTTGCAATTTTGCTTTAAGAATTTAACCTGTGTTCCTCCACCCCTACGCCTAGTGCAACACACTCACAAACACACACAAATACACACACATACAAAAACACACAAACACATACGCAAAAAAATACACATGCACACACACAAACAATTGAAAAATATATTAACTTCTGTGCACTCACATGCAGAGAGAGAGAGAGAGAGAGGGAGAGAGGGGGAGAGAGAGAGAGAGAGAGAGAGAGAGAGAGAGAGAGAGAGAGAGAGAGAGAAAGAGGGAGAGAAAGCTTACACGCTGAATATAACTCTGATAAAAAATTCAATGGCATTAATTTGAATATTACTCATAATATTCTTCTGTGCGCACATTGTGAGGCCCCGAACCTGTACCTGTTAAAAGTTAATTTTATGACATGTAATGTATCTGTATATTATTATGTTTTACACCCTCATTGACGCAATTTAGATTATTTAGGACGCCGGCTGCTCCGGCTATACCTGGTAAAACCAGTCAAGGCTGAGATGGATACGACATCCCATCAGACAGACCCTCGATAAAAGAAATTATGTTCTTCTCTCTGTCCACACCCCTTTGAGAGTCGAAATCCCGTCATCTGCGTGTGACAGGGAAGTTTATTTTTGTAAAGTGTTTTACGGCGCTCGCAACTGCATAAGGTCATATGAGCGCGCGGGACACACCTATTATTTTCAGTTGGTACGAAATTTTGAATTTTGCCCGGGTGGCGGCCGAAGCCTACTCTTATCGATTTTAAACCACCAAGGGATCTTTAACGTGCGCAACTTGCACACGGGCCCTCCGAGATGTTTCGCCCTTGTCCGAGAAGGCTAGGTGTAGATCTTTCCTACCAGAAGATCAGGGGTGTGGCTGAAAGACAGCAGTAAGAAGAAGAGAAGGAGTAGCTGTAGAAAGGCTGCAGAAAGAATCAGGAGCCCAGAGGAAGGGGCAAAGGAGGTGAGGGGGGGGGGCAGAAAGAGGAGACGAAAGCAGACAACAGAAAATTGCTAGAGAGCAGGAAATGAGGTGAAAGGAGACAAATTTAGAGAAAAAAATGTTTCGGTCGTTACCCGGATTCGAACCCGGGACCTTTGAATAAGAGGCCAACACCTTAACCTCTAGGCCACGAGAGGCCCCGACAGGGAAGTGATTGAAGAAGGTGGGGTCCGCTTGGTGCAGGAAGTAAAATAAACATGACAATTTGGTAACTTCCAAAGCTCTAGTATCGTCATGAAAACTGCCCGTTTACATTTTAGTGCCTTTGATCAACATGTTTCAGGAAAATAAATCCACACAGAAATGTGTTTTTAAATGGAAGTAAATGGCCTTGAGATTTGTAAAAAAACGATAAAGATTTCCCGAAGGAGAGAATATAATATGCCGGTTTCTTTGATTTCCCCGCGACGACATGTATGATCTGCACCTCCGTGTTTGATCTGATAGAATCTGTTCTATTGTAAGACAAAAGTATTTTTTTTTCTGCCCTTTCAATCTTATTCATCACCCTGGATGCCAGAATTTTAACGATTTTTTTTTCGACCCTTAAGGCCTTTTCTTAGAATTAAGTAAAAGGATCATCACAAAAGTTGAACAAACTTGTCATGAACAATTATTAAGAGTGTGTTTTCTTGATGAGGAGAACAAAAGCATTAAACCGATCACCGCTTTCTGTATTAGTATTAGCTGGAGGTGTCTGCTACTGTGTGTGGAAAAAGGGGGGGGGGGGTGCACATTCGTATTAAGGGCGAGAGGTATAATTAACGACACATTCACTTGTAGAGTTGTGAAAAGGTGGCCTGAGGGGTGGTGGGCATCCAGATGCAATTATTAAAATTAGTACTTTTGGCGATCTTGACTTTTGTCTCTGCCAATATGCCACCACCTTTTTATTTAACTTCACAAAGGCTTTCTATTTCCCATTCAATAACGAATACACTTTGTCGTGTGTACGTGTATAATGCCCTTGCATTCCTCAATCTTAAAAAGTCTTCTGTCCACCTTTTGATTCTTTGCAAAATAACTTTGTAACAATGTTCTTCGAATCACTTTCAAATACACGTCCGTATATTTTTTGTTCAACAAAAGAGTGAAATAAAGTGAACGCTGTTGCGTGCTTGGGTGAAATTGACAACAGCACGCTTTTAATTGTATACTCACGAGTCCTATATGCCTGCTAATTATATTTATTCAAGCCACTGCCATTAGTCATTGTAGGCCTACATATTCAATGCCTTTTTCAACACTCAAGGGTTATTTAAGAGGCATTAACCCCGAAGTTAATATCTGTCTCAAAAAATCACCAAGCCAAATTAGCCTCAAGAATCCCTCAAAACAGCCCAATTTCAGAACGCCCTTTTGAGGATTTCGAATCAGAGCTATTCGCTCCAAAGTCCAGCCTTATACCAAATGGATTAACGGTTCGCTGAGTCACCCCTAGCCAGCTGTTCTTGTCGATAAGCTAAACATAACCTACACTGTCAGAGCTCACTCCTGAACGCAAAGATAACATTAACAGTTCGATTCCGTCTCTTTCTTTGTGCAATTGCCTGTCCAACAAATGCATCATGTCATTTGTCATTGTACACAGCACACACAGTTCTTTAGTGCTTGGAAGGTTGAAATTGTCTTTCCTTTGTACTTTAAACAATCATTATATTATTACATTGTATCATCAAAATGTAAAGCTTAGGTTTCATTTTAGAGATATTCTTGATACAGTCTACATTTCCCCGATTGACCATAGGCTCAGGGAAGCACTCATTTTCGTTCTATGTAAGTTGCCGCTGGTCTTCATTCTATAAATGTGAGGCAGCATGGTGGAATCAGGCTCTCGTCAAAATAATGAAATTGAAGAAAAAGGCATTTTTCCACCGGATTGGCAATTTTTATCAAAATTTTGTTTTTTGGCTTAACACCTTTCATGTTCATATAAAAACACATTTCCATGTGAATTTTACTGAAAAACCTTGTTTAAAGGCACAAAATATGTAATTTTCAGTTTTCAAAGACTCTTAAGCTATTGAAGTTACCAAACTTTGGCGGCCATTTTCTAATTAATTTAATGACTGAAACCAGGCTACCCCTCCTTCTTCAATAGCAAATATCTCGACTTCTTTTCAAGATAGATGGGTATTTTTTTCACCCATAGCAAGACAAATGAACAAGCTTTAAGAAGATCCCAATAACTCTACATTCCCAAAAATTGACGAGAGCCTGATTCCACCACGCTGCCTCACAAATACATTGCGAGAGGTCAGCCATCCAGAGATGGCTCCCCGAATACAATCATCCACGTCTCTAAATTGCTATTGTATTTGGCTACGATACTGTGCTTCATTTAGTAAAACAATAGGCTACATTGTTTGGAAAGAATCATGTATATATCTGTTGTATGTAATATAGCGTTGTAGTTGTGAATATTGTACATTAAGTTGTTATAAGGCGCTTGCTGTATGGTTGATCATTGTACTGTAGCTTTCTTTCGGAAATATTGTTACAGATATTTGACATGTCGTCGTTGTTATTGTCAACTGCTTTGCCTCTGAGAGGAATAACGTGGGCTTTTTATTATTTTTTTAAATGTGTGAGATTTCGAATTGTTCAAAGCTAAAAATCAAAGCGAAACATGTCTGATGTGTTTTTTAAAACTCCTCAAACACGTATCGGGCACATAATGTCCAATCAGATGCAGGCTAGAGTATGCATGTTGCTGCTCCTCTTCTTTTTTTTTAAAATTTCAGATAAGGAAAACAGAACTGAAATATTTTATGTATAAATGACAAAGTTATGTTTTTTTCTTTTTTTTTATATTAGTGTCCGAAAGAGAGTGTCTCTAGTGTTGCCAATTGAACAGAATGCGCTTCCAATGTTGTATCAATGGCTCAGCACTAGGATAACCGTATCTCAAAACAATGTCTCTGGACAGGAAACTGGTTATGCATCCCGCTAAAGTGAGCATCAAAGAAGGCACTCTACTGTCTCGAGTAGAGAGTCTGCCAACTTTATACTTGTAATTACGATTTGTCGAAAATTAACATTTGTATTCTTTCACAGCCGAAACCACACCACCCCCCTCCCTTCCTCTCTCCTTTTTATTTTCTTCCACTGTGAAAGCCTTTTATATATAATAATGTGGTCTCCAATCACACTGATTGTTACAGTTTCGTGTCCTTACATTGCGCTTTTTGCTCTATTATGCGCTGCGAGAATCGCTGCGTATCATTGTAAATAGAGAGAAGATGTGATTTGATTCAGTGAGAAGGGGAGAGAGGGGGGATAGAGAGAGAGAGGTGGAGAGAGGGAGAGAGAGAGAGAGAGAGAGAGAAAGAGAGAGAGAAAGAGAGAGAGAGAGAGAGAGAGAGAGAGAAAGAGAGAAACAAAG